ACCACTAGAACAGCAGAACTTTTTCATGTGATAAAACAAACCACCCTCATTTATTACTGATGGCATAAAAAAGCTTTAAATAAACTCCTATCCTTCCTCAGTTTGACATCTAAGAAAGAGTTATTTTGGTTTCATTAAAACAGAAGAATGCTTTAGGGTTCTCTCTTCTATGATGTGCTTTTGAGGTACTGGGAAATACAATCTTAGAGTATTTATAATACAAAAAGGCAGTCCCATTAGACTTAATAAGACTTGTAGAAGATTGTACTTTGAAGCATCTAGAAATAGGTGCCAAGTATTGTATTGAGTATATTTCAGCATCTGATTCAAGAAAAGACTGATGCAATATTTTTATAAATCCAATCTTACAGAAAGAATAAGAATTATTCATTTGAAACCAGTTATGTACCAAACAGGAACTGGAAAATAAATTTTTCATCGAAAGACCAAACAACTTGTGATGGATAACCAATTAAATAAATAAGACAATTCAAGTTAGGCTTTTAAAACTCACAAAGCTTTTTGCTTTCTGGCTTATTCTGCATGTGTAGTCAAGTGGTCCACGATGACCTTTCCCTGCCAGCAGGATAATTTCTTGTCAACACCAACAGAATGAGAGGAGTGAAAGATTTGCTCTTGCAATACCTCTGAATCCTTTCATTCTAGTGATGAAATTTTTGGCATCAAAGGAACTACGACTGATTAGCGGCAAAATGTAAACAAATATAAAAAGCATTCAGAACTGTGGGTTGACATGATCATTCACAGCGTCACAAAAAAATGAAGCTATGGCATTACTTTTAAACTTTGGGCTGAATAGAAGAATCTATTTGCCTTTCATTTTATAGAAGAAAGCAAATGAAAATAAATTGAAAGACCAAGGAGGCCAAACAAAATCTGTCATGTATTGATCTGTTTAAATTATTCAGAGAAGCTACAGTGACTAACTTTTCAGTTAGCCCTCAGAAAGGATTTCCACAGCAGCATCAGAAAGTAAGCAAACAATAAGAAATAGTCCCAGTGCTTTCCAGCTTTATATCAGCAGGGCTGTTCAATTTTGGCAACTTTAAGACTTGTGAACTTTAACTCCCAGAATTCCCTAACCAACATGGTTGGCTAGGGAATTCATTAGACACCTCTGCTGATATACAGAGAGAGCAGGGAGAGTAGGGGCTTCATTTGCATAACAGTCCCACACCAATAAGGGACCGTCGATGAGAATAAGAAGGATGACAACATTCCCGACTAAAGAACAATTTCACTCCTACTGATAAAATATGACAATTCAAATAACTGAAGAAGTTTCATGGATGAGAAGCGAAACGTCTTCCAGGAAAAACAAAGAGAGTCCAGTTGCCTTTTGAAAAAGCATCTTTGGGACAACCATGACCTGGATGACTGAGAATCTCTCTATATTTCTACAATACACTCACACACACACCTTATAGAAATAAGTTGCACCAAATTAAGCATTGACCACTACCTTCAGATGAGCAAAACTCATGCCAGGAAGTAACTCCCATAAATTCAGTAAGTGTGTCAAGGAGTCTTCCAAATGGAGAAACAATGACAATTCAACATTTCTAAATGAGAACTCAGCTTCTTAATGATTATTTAGAGAATGTATATATGCAACAATATAATAACAATAACAATTTAAATATAAATTTTGTCACATAAGGTAGTAACATACATATGGCCAATGGAATGTATTGTGCTTGTCTTTGGACCAATAACCATTTTAACCCTGGCATCTGCCTTGTGGGGCAGATCCTACAATACTGTAGCTAATATATATATACAAGTTTTGGTGTATTTGGGTCTTTTCCCGTGTAAGATTGAGTGTATCTTGGTGATGTTTCGATGAGGTCCCACTCGTCATCTTCAGGCTGATGTCTTTGGCTTCGTGCTTGTGCGAGGAAAGCATGATCGGAACTGCCGTCTCTCTATAAATACTGGTGGGGATGTGTGGGGTGCTGGCTTTGTTGCTGTGAGCAGGTTAGTTGCCTGTGTTGTTACATCTTGATTGGTTGATGGAGTTAATGTTTGCAGATTAGTCAGCTGTTTCGTAACATCCTGTGTGGGTGAGGTCCTTGATGTGTGCCCATTAGTCTTTTGTATTTTAATGACCTGGGTAATGGGCTGTGTGTTAACATCCTGAGTTCTAGTGTTGTGATATCCTGAGTTTTTTGATGTAATGTCCTGAGCAGATGGCTGTGATGCCACATCCCGGGTTTTGGTTTGGCTCCGAGTTTGAGGTCTTGCCATGTGTTCATGGCATGTGTCAGTTTGCTTTGGGTGGGGATCGGAGGGGGGTACAGCAGCTGGTGATGCCGCCGTGGTCTGGCTTCTGGATGGTGGTTGTATTTCGTCTATGGGATGGGTTTGGGTTTGAATCTGGTGAGGATGATTGGTGGTGGTGTCATGTGTTATCTTGGGTCCAGTATTAATCTTTGTGGCTGGGACTCTTCAGTTGACTAGGGCTAGTTTCCAGATGTCCGGTAGGCAGGAGGTATCGTCACGTTTATTCATGTTATGGGGGTGTTTCTCTATTTTGATGGTTTCCATGATTATTCTCTTGTTGAAGTGTTCAGTTTTGGAGATTACTTTGGTTCCTTCAAAGTCAGTTTCGTGTCCTGTTGTTTTAAGGTGCTGGAAAAGGGAAGAAGTTTTTTCTTCTTTTCTGATTGCGTTCTTGTGTTCTGCAATTGTGTTCGACCTCATCAAAACATAGCTCACCTCACAGGATTGTTGTTGTGGGGAAAACAGAAGGAGGAAGGACTATTTGATATGTTTGCTGCCTTGAGTTGTATGTAAAAAAAGTGGGCTAAAAATCTTAAAAATAACACTAACAGCAAACAGAGGTTGTCTAGAATACATCCTGACATTCCAAATTTGCTTTCCAGTATCCAAGTCCCAGGAATGAAGCACTGAAGAAGTTAAGTATCAAACAAATGGGTAATTTTAGCAATGGTATAAGGGCAAGGAAGATGACTCTTCACATTTTCTTGCAGAAAGAAAAAAATTCTAGCAAACAAACCACCGTTGAAAAAGTATAGTAGTCACAACAGTAGTTTAACAGGTATTGTAGCATCACAATAAATGATGCAACTATGGAAGAAAAAGAAATATATAGGTATACTAAATACAGGTCAAATGTGTAAAAGGGTTGGGCTCGAAGATCTCCAAGGTCTCTTCCAACTCTGATATTCTGTTTGCTTAAATATGTGTAAATATGCCTGTCTTCTCAGTTTGTGCATAGTGCAATATGTTCCTGGTCACTGATAAACAAATTTGTTGATCCTATACCATTTTTCTTTCTCCTTCTCCTTCTCCTCCTCCTTCTCATCATCATCTATTAAATTTATATACCACAAATCTGGTGGTGATTTATTGGCGAATAAAGCAGTTCTGAGTGGCTTCCAAGGAAATTTACAGTCTCCTGTTTTTTAGTCTTGTGCCTTTAACTATTATGCCAAACTATGTTTCTTTCTTCCTCTGTGTATATGCAGAATATAGAAATAGATTTCTACAAATTATATAACATATATAGTATATGCATGCACTGTGTATGTGTGTGTAGTTTGTGTATATACACACTACAAACATACACAGTACATACTATACATACACACATATATCTATATGCATACATACCATATTTTTTGGAGTATAAGACACACCGGAGTATAAGACGCACCTTAGTTTTTGGGGAGGAAAATAAGAAAAAAGCTGACTGGCAGGTGGATCAGCCTTCTGGAATACCCCCAGTCAGTTGTTCCCAGAGGTGAATTTTAGCAACAGGTTCCTTGGTTGTAAGCTCTGTGCCTTGATTTTTCTTTTTCTTTTTTTCTTTTTTTCTGCCTCTGAAAGCCTCTGAAACAGAGCTTCAGAAAAAAAGTCTCTGAAGCTCTGTTTGGGGGCTTCTTTTCTAAAGCTTCATTTCTGATGCTTTTTTCAGCCTCTGAAACCTCCATTTGAGAAGCTGGGCAGGGCTACATTTGGAGTATAAGACGCACCCAGATTTTCACCCTCTTTTTGGGGGGAAAAAGGTGTGTCTTATACTCCAAAAAATATGGTATATACCTATACACACACACACACATACACACACAGATATAATAGGGCCCTAACCTCAACAAAATATAGCCAAAGTAATTTGCATTTTTAAAAAGAGTACTGTGATGGATTGAAAAAAAAAATTCTTGCTAATTTTGTATTTGCTAGTAGGGTACATTGATGGAAATAGTTATTAAAATCAAAGTTAAAGTTAAGAGACCTGACCAAGTTTCATCCTTTTGTACTTCAAGCATGGAGACTTTGACTGCTCTCTGATGTCTCTATGAATAAACAAATGAACCAGGAGGACTGCTTTTTATGTCAGCCGTTTTGAGTATTAAAAAGATAATATACCTTGAAAGCTGAGCATAAATCACTGGGCATGAAACAGAGGCTTTTAAAATGAGGAATATAGTACTTTTCTCCTTTCAGTATAAAAGAGGATTAAATGCCTGCACATTTCCATACAATCATTTTTTTCTTCCTCAATGGACTGCTTAATACACATCAGCACTCCAACAAACTCTTGATCCCAATATGTCAAAAGCTTCTTAATAATTGCAGTAAAGGGCTTTTAAAGCCTCCACAACAGGTTGCAGCCTGTAGCAGAATTTGGCAAATTTTGAAAAAACAAAACAAAACTAAGAAGGGACAGATGTTGCTAGATTTGGATGAATACCACCAGGAAATCATAGAACTATAAGATTAGACTGAACGGCTAAAATGTTATGGAAAAAGTCAATGGTAGCTTACTTTCATAATATTTGCCAAAAATAGAAAAAAGCTAGATACACATATCCATGTAATCATCAGAAGTTATTCTTGATTCAAGAGAGTCCTTCTCTCTAATCAACTTTAGAACTTCAGCAAATGAAACAAGGTCAATAAATTGTAAAACACCAAGGAAGGATATGATTTAGTGCAGAGAGGATGCTTCTTACCGAAAGTCATTGAAGAGATCAATGCATGTTCCACTGTTTTTACACAGACCACAGTTACACTCATTAGATTCAGATTCACAAAATGGCCCTTCCCAGCCAGGCTGGCAGATACACTGGTAACCCTAAAATGAATTAGGGCAAAAATGTATTAATTATTTCACAATATTCCAGTGCGTTTTAAATAAGCATTTTTTTAAGGAACAAAGATTCAAAATCGTTTTGGACTGTAATACCAATGATCTCTGGAATGATAAAGAGATCCAGTGCTTAATAAATAATAACTGATGAAATAACTAGATATTTTCATTCTCTAGTGAGACATTAACCAAGACTGAAATCATTTTTCTAGTGTTTCATCTTATATTGCTACAATAAATGTATGAGAGGCTGAGACCATATAGAAGGAAGTGCATGAATAGTTGCTACTTGGCCATGGGAAAAAATAATACCCATTTAGTACAACTCAAGGTCCTGTCTTTTCCTGATATAGATAAAACATGGAGAAGCAACAATATGAAATGTCATAAAATGTGATCTGTAACAAACTTCATACATGGCAAATGCTTAATATTCTACTGTATTTAAAACATAAAACATAAAAAGCAGCCCTTGCAAGCATTTTAAAAGTCAGTTCTTATCATCTGTTCTAAAACTACCCATTAGCTGTTTAGTAAGGTTTCTAGGTTAGGCTCTGAATCAGCAATTCCTAGTCATAGACAGCTGTTATGCAAACACAAGAACCATTCAGTTTCCGATAGAACATTTTGTAGAGGTTTTCCTTATTGGCAGCTGATATCGTTAATTTATAATTTTTCTCCCATAATTTATCCCAATGGCCTAATTCAATACAGTATCCGAAATTCCTAGCCCAACTTATCATCGTCTCCTTCACATTTTCTTCTTCCATTTTAAATCTTAATAAGGCTTGAGAATAGGAGTAAAATTAATGCATAAGATGTATAAAGTAAAATATATAATGTATAATGTATAAGAACTATATAATATTGATGATAATGTGATTATATGTCAGTAGATATTATTATAACTCAATCAATGGTATAATATAGGTTAATGAACTATAGAAATAGAATTTATGTAAATATGAATATTATGGATGATATGGATACCAATTTGTAAATGCTGTAATGAGTGAAAATTTGTGTTTTGTGTTTTATATTTGTTATATAAAACCAGGAAATACAAATAGAATAATCTGTTTTAAAATATTTGGCAGATTAGGTTTGGTTAAAAGCATTTAAATCATCATTCTTAAAATAAATCTGTTTATGATAAAACCATGAAACACTCCAGTTCCTGGAATAAAAGATCTTTTATTAGTAATAATCTATCATGCTTTGTATCTGTCATGTTGAACAGTCCCTTTAAATGGAAAAGAACAAAATGTATAAGTCTTGATTTTAGTCTTGGAAATAACTCCAACTTGTATGAGATTATTGTATTGCATAGACCAGTTAATCAAGTAGAAGCAATTGCTGCAAAACTCAGATATAAAAGTGGAACATTCACTTAAGTATTGATGTTTAGAGATCTTGTACTTATCATTATCCAAATAAAGAATTTAACAAAAAGACCTTATTTAGACCTCTGTAACAATACTCTCAATTTTCCTTGATCATTTGGCTCTGGTAATTTTTCCATATAACGCATATAACATAATAATACAAATTCTTTTCATGCAAAAAACTAATGGTTGTGGCAAAGTCTTCCAACATAGACATTTCTCTGAAGTCTAATCTTCTTTAGGCAAAGAGCTTCTGTTGTTTATGTTTGTTTGTGTACCAATATAGCCCAATGAAACGTAATTCAGCTGTATGTTTACACTGATTAAATAGGAATTAAAGCTAGTGTTAGAAGGGAGGAGAGGTTTCCCCTCCCCGAGGGTTCGAATTTCCCGGCTGGGAGAGCGTTCCGGCGCCGCGCAAAACCGTGAGAGAAGCGAGCTGCATGAAAGCAAGTTTTCTTTATTTTTCAGGAAGTCAGATCAAGCGAAGTCATGGACCAGCATTCCTAGGTGAGCTGACATCGTTACAAGGTAAGCATACATTCTTATACTTTTCTGTACAAAGGAAATTCTTTGCTTCTTTTGTTGCTTTTGTGGGTCTTCCCTTTGTGTGTGTGTTCATGGATTGCCCTGTGTTTTCTTATTCTAGTTTCTCCCCACTTGAAACTGGGTGGTGTCTGGGTTATTTGGTCTCGTGTTCTTTTGTTCTCTTCTGTTCTTATTATTTGCTTCTAGCCTTAAGCTGATCATGTTGTTATCAGGTAAACCCTTACCCCCAGCTTGACTCTTATCAGATTGCTTGGGCTATTGATCAAATCTTTTCCTTTTGCTAATCCTCTGCCATTCCTTTTGTTTTGCTCTCCTAGTTTCTGCTGTCTTGATAGTTCCTTTCCTGGCATGTCCTGTGTCTTTTGTGTGTGCCATTTCCCTGGGTCCTCTTTTGTTCCTAAATGGCCCCAATGTTCATGTGTTCTATTTTGGGAAGGTCATTTTCCTATGCCTGTGGCCTTTGCCTTTCTGAGTTGATTATGTCCTACTGGCCCTGGCACTGTCTTGGTGGTGTTCCCCTCCTACACTAGTAAATTTCCAAGGTTCAGAATGGGTTTCTTTTCAGATCAGGAAACATGAAAGGTTCGTCTCCATTATTTATTTCTGAGGTAAGTTTTCATATTGCTAATTATCACTCACTATTGCCATCATCAAGTTATAAGTAGGCATGTGCATATTTATCCTTAGAGCATTTTTGCATCAGTAGTTTATAGTGTCACTCAGCCAGTGCTGTGGCAATATATTGTCAATGAATTCAGGTTTTATAACAGAGATGACTGAGTGACACCATAAATTACTAGTGCAGAAATCCTCTTAGTCTATGGCTTATGAAGTGGAAATTTTAAGTTCCCCAATGTAACTTAGTTTATAGAGCATATAGAACAACTGCAAAAGTTTGCAGGTTTATAAAACCCTCTCCATTTCCATTACAACACAACCATTTGTGTGCCATGGGCCAGATGCTACTCTCAGCATTTTCCATCTGCTTTACTGAACTCCTGGGAACCCACAACCCAACTGATCAGTTACACCCCACATTGTTCCTACTGCAAACAAAATACAGCTCAGTGCTACTAACAGTATTATAGGAACATAATATCATCTGTCAAAAAAATCATCACTAGTATAATTATCCATCACTGCACACCCTATTCTAGAAGTGTATTATTATTTTGAACAGGAAGATGGTCTAAAGTAGCTATGTCAGTACATGTTTCTGCTTCTACCCTGCAAATAATAAAGTTGAGAGAGATCAAGCCATATTCACTGCCCAACTCACATGGTAATCATGGAAGAGTCTGTCTATCATCTATCTATCTTTTTTAAAAAAATATTTTTATTGAACGTTTTCAACATTTAAAACTCAAAACACAAATTTTCACTTATCACAGCTTTTCCGTATCGGTAACAATATTATCCATAACATCCATATTTACATAGATTCTATTTCTATGGTTCACTATCCTATATTATACAATTGTTTAAGTTATAGTAATATCTACTCACATATAATCAAATTATCACCAATATTATATAGTTCTTATATATTATATATTATACATTGTACATCTTATACATTAATTTTACTCCTGTTCTCAAGCCAGGTATACCATCTACTACAAATCTGGTAGTACTCAGATTCTTCTTTCTCTTTCATTTCCTATCCATTTCTGCACACTCATATACTTTTCTTATTATCAATGCCTCTGAAGGGATATTAATTTGTTTCCAATTCTGCACAAAGACGATTCTGGATGCCATTAATATATGTAATATTATGTATTGAATTTTTTTACCCATTTTCTCATCTAAGATTGTCAGGGTGGCAATTAATCCCATTCTGCTTTTGGGTAATTGCACCTTGATTAGAGAATGGATCGTGACCTTTCCTTGAAGTATACTTTAAGAAAATAAAACCGAAATATATTCTAATAAACACATTTTATTATAAAGAAGTAAAAACATCTTACTAGCTAATTAATTACATCTTGGCAGCGTTCTGTATTTCTTTTTCTTTCTCGGCATATTTGCAAAAAATAATCAGCGTTCCTCAGTCGCCGAAAATAATCATCTGGCTAAACTGGCCTAGAGGTCTAACCATCAAAGTAACAAGCAAGGAAAAAAGCCATAAATCAAACCGTCCTTCTGCTGCCACGTGTCAAGGTGGCAATTAATCCCATTCTGCTTTTGGGTAAATGCACCTTGATTAGAGAATGGATCGTGTCCTTTCCTTGAAGTATACTTTAAGAAAAATAAAACCAAGATATATTCTAATAAACACATTTTATTATAAGGAAAGTAAAAACAGTCTTACTAGCTAATGATTACATCTTGGCAGCGTTCCTGCCGGACCTCTTGGCAGGTGAACAAAGAAAGTTAGAAGAAAGTGAAAGAATGTGGACATGCGCAGTTAGCTTAGAGATAAGAGCTCTGATCAGCTACGGTAAGTCTTAGAGTTCAAGCACAGCTGGCAAATACAAAAAAATGCAGTGACAAAGATACCCAATAAAAAATAGTTCCGGCTTCAATTTGATCTTTTGTTCAGTTATTTCTTCCAACCATTTCCTTATCTTATGCCAATACTACCTGGCTTTGGGACACATCCACCACATGTGGTAGAAGGTTCCCTGTTTATAACCACATTTCCAGCATTTGGGTGAACAATTTGAAAACATTTTGGCCAATCTGGCTGGTGGTAAATGCCAACAGTAGAACATTTTATAGAGGTTTTCCTTGTAAGCGGCTGACATCGTTAGTTTATATTTTTTCTCCCATAATTTATCCCAATGGTCCAATTCAATACTGTATCCAAAATTTCTGGCTCAACTTATCATCGTCTCCTTCACATTTTCTTCTTCCATTTTAAATCTTAGGAAGAAATTATATATATGTCCTTCCTGGTTAGTACTGGCTTCCCGGGAAGTGACACGAGGCTGGCTCCAGGGGATTATAAACGCTTCGCTGAGTGAGGGTGACTTTCCCGCCGCCTTGAAAGAGGCGGTGGTGAGGCCTCTCCTCAAGAAGCCTTCCCTGGACCCGGCAATGTTGGTAAATTATCGTCCGGTCTCCAATCTTCGCTTTGTTGCGAAGGTTGTTGAGAGTGTGGTCGCGCAACAGCTCCCCCAGCACCTGGATGAAACGACGTATCTGGATCCGTTCCAGTCGGGCTTCAGGCCCGGGTACAGCACGGAAACGGCATTGGTCGCGTTGGTTGATGATCTCTGGAGGGCTCGGGACAGGGGGTGCTCCTCTGTCCTGGTCCTGTTAGATCTCTCAGCGGCTTTTGATACCATCGACCATGGTATCATGCTGCACCGGTTGGAAGAGTTGGGGGTGGGAGGCACTGTGTTGCGGTGGTTCTCCTCCTTTCTCTCTGACCGGTCGCAGTCTGTGTTGACAGGGGGACAGAGGTCGACCCCGAGGCCCCTCATATGTGGGGTGCCGCAAGGGTCGGTCCTCTCGCCTCTCCTGTTCAACATTTATGTGAAGCCGCTGGGCGAGATCATCCGTGGTTTCGGGGTGGAGTACCATCAGTACGCTGACGACACCCAGCTGTACATCTCCACCCCGGATCACCCCAACGATGCCCTTGAAGTGATGTCCCGGTGCCTGGAGGCCGTACGGATCTGGATGGGGAGGAACAGGCTCAGGCTCAACCCATCCAAGACTGAGTGGCTGTGGTTTCCGACGTCCCGATATAGTCAGTTGACGCCATCACTGACTATTGGGGGCGAATCATTGGCCCCCACGGAGAGGGCTCGCAACTTGGGCATCCTCCTGGACTCACGGCTGTCTTTAGAAGAGCACTTGACGGCCGTGACCGGGAGGATTTTTCATCAGGTTCGCCTGATTCGCCAGTTGCGTCCCTTTCTGGATCGGGACTCTTTACGCACGGTCACTCATGCCCTTGTCACCTCCCGCCTGGACTATTGCAACGCTCTCTACATGGGGCTCCCCTTGAGGAGCACCCGGAGGCTCCAACTGGCGCAGAGTGCGGCCGCGCGGGTGGTAATGGGAGCGACATGGCGTTCCCATGTAACACCTCTCCTGCGCGAGCTGCACTGGCTCCCGGTGGTCTTCCGGGTGCGCTTCAAGGTTTTGGTTACCACCTTTAAAGCGCTCCATGGCTTAGGACCCGGGTACTTGCGGGACCGCCTACTACCACCAATAGCCTCCCACCGGCCGGTACGCTCCCATAGAGAGGGGCTCCTCCGGGTGCCGTCAGCCAAACAATGCCGACTGGCGGCCCCCAGGGGGAGAGCCTTCTCTGTGGGGGCACCTACTATCTGGAACGAGCTCCCCCCAGAGATACGGAGGATCCCGGATCTGCGCACCTTCCGCCGCGCCTTAAAGACCTTACTATTTCACCAGGCCGGCCTGGCCTAATTTTCCCCCTCTTTTATAAAAGATTTTTAAAATTTTAAATATTTTTTAGTATTTATATATTCAATTTTAAATTGGTTTTAAAAGTTTGGGGTTTTAAATTTGTCGGGGCCAAAATTATTTAATTTGATTTTATTCTATTTTTAAATTTTGTATTGTATGTGTTTTTATTGTTTGGCTGTGCACCGCCCTGAGTCCTTCGGGAGTAGGGCGGTATAGAAATCTAATAAATAAATAAATAAATAAATAAATAAATATGTTTTGGTAATCATTTTGTCCCCTGTCCCTAATAATATTTTATCAAGTTCCAATTGTTTTCCATAAATGTCATATTGTTCTAATTTTTTTTTATAACTTGTTCTAATTTGGAGATAGGGCCATCAATCAATCTTTATTCCTTGATTCTTTAAATCCTGATCAGATTTTAAGTCTCCTTGTTCATCTAATAATTCCGGATACCTCACCACCTTGTTTAAATCTAATATGTTTGGATAAATCATCACCTCCATTGTTGATAGCCAAATTGGAATTTTCTTATAATGATTTTTCCTATTTTTTTCCCAAATGTTTATCCAAGTATCTCTCACTACGTGTCTCTG